ATTATATTGAAAAGCAAGATCATTAGTTGGGTTCTCTGACTACCGGAAGTACATCGGGCTAAGAACGTTTTGATCAATAATCAGCATGTTACTTGCAGTAATGTGTTTGCATTTAAAGTTCTATATTTATACTTGTTTGTATGTATTACCAATGACAAGATTTGCAAATATAGTTTGATACTAGTGTTGCATAATCTTATAACGTTTAGTATTATAAATATACTTAATTATCAAGATTAATTATAAACCAAAATTTGTCGCGCGAACAAAAAGTAACCTAAGTACTTATCATTGCAGTGTAATATACCTATAATTGTGAATTAATTAGATTTGAAACAAGACATATGCCATAAAAAGCAAATGCAACAATATCTTTTAATGAACACTTGAAGTTTATATATATTCTATGCTCTATGTTCATTTAATATGAGTCTGATTCTATTTTTATATTGGGAACAGTGAATATGATACTTCACCCAATAAATATAGTTTTGAATTTGTTCTGTTTATTGTTATATTTATGTTGTAATTTTGGCTTATGCATCAGCATTCAATTAATACAAGATTTTTTTTCCACATAAGCATACATGGAGTTAGCCTCCGTTTCATTTTATATGATTTTACAGTTTATTACCAAGCAAATATTGACAATATATGATAACATTCGGAACGCAAAATCATACTTTGACGACCGAAACAGGAAATCGGAAAAAAATATATTACTAGAAAAGAGAAAATGCATTCGCTATAATTACACACACATAGGTGATTCAATTTTCTATTGGAATACCAAAATCTTACTTCTGATAGAAGAAAACAAATTATAAATGTTTTAAAAAGAAATCCCAATATAATAAGTATAGAAGTGAATGAGCATTGGAGCTTCCTATTATGTGCTATTTAAAACATTGCATGTTATTTTTTAGTGGCTTAAGCATATTTTGTTGAATTCTGAAAATTATTTGATATAATCATTTATTTCGTTTTATATATTAAACATTGCATTCTTCAGTCGATATAGGATACAAATTGTATAAATGTATATGTGATATTAATAATAATAATTAATGCAATATACAAACCTCGAATTATGTGTTTGTTATTTACCTTATATGTACATGTATTGTGTATTAAGGTTTCATTAAACTTATGTTTATCCAATTTAAATGAATCATTTTTATGAAAGTAATATATAGCTGCTGGTTTGAAATATGTGTTTTATTCTGTTGTATTGATTGTATACTTGTTTCTTGCTATTATTACATTCACTTGGTATAGTGAATTCGTTTCAATCTCAATTATTGCTCATGCTATTTATTCATAAAATTGAACATCATTTTAATGTATGATAAAACATATTCATAAAAATATTTTACTTACCATAATTCAGTTTGATACAAGCACTATGATTGTACATTAAAACATATATTCATAACAATAAACATCTTTTTCTGCTTAAATGTGAGATAATATACATTAAATGACCCACATAAAGAAAAAAACCTACGGCCCCGTTAATGTTTACGAAATCGTGCAAAATACTTCAATTGTTTTTTTTTTCTCTTTTTTATTAACACCTCACAGGAAATTTGTGAAACAGTCGTACTTTTTCTCCATGCAAACTTATATCATCTAAAATATTTTACTAAAGCATGGATACAAACTAAATAACAAAATTAAGCTTTTATTTGTACTCGTATATATTATAGCATGTACATTTTCTATCTTAAACATAAATTGTGAACCTAAGATAATAAAGACGTCCGTTTTGTTTTTTTCATTTGCACTCATTGTTAATGTCTTTTGATGACACAATGACATGACTGTCCCAACGTTGTGTGATGATGTTTTAGTATCGTATTCCTTGTGGCAAGACCAATATTTAGTCAGATTGCAGTACAAAAATCTGTAAAAGGGGTAAAGACCACACAAATATAGTTTAAGTGATGTAATTAAAATGTTTTCATTAACAAAATGCATGAATCAAAACGAAATGTTTCAGATGGTTTTGTGAGAATTTCTTATAGCAAACGTATTTCCAATTCCTGAACGTCATTTATTATGCAAGCTAAGCACATGCAAACTATAAAATTCAGCGAAAGCAAGATCTATACCAGGAAATATTTAAATACAATTATCTAACATTATTCTGTTTAGCACACAAAACAGTATGACAATATTCTAATAGACCGAGAGGCATGTTAATCTTAGAATCAATTCGTAAACTCATCCATGTTTCTGTCCAGATATGTAAATTAAAGATATTACTCAGTAAAGGTCGACATTCTGGTAATGATAGCCGTTAGAAAGGAGCATGATGTACAAGAAATAAGTTATATGATATGCTTGAATCAGTTTCAAGTTACTTACAAAAAAGTATGTGCTATATTCCATCATTATCATGTATAATATGCTCATTATCGTCCATGACGAAGTAGTAGAGGTCACAGACTGACTTCAAACAACTTACCGCTATGGGTTTGAATCCCGACAGGGACTTTGTATTATTTTATGTAAGGAAGCTATCCTGTTGGTAGTTCGAGGTCTTCCTCCACAAGAAAAGCTGGAAAGTCGCCATATGAATATACTGAGTTGATGCGACGTAAAACCCAACCAAAAATATTAATGAGTCTTACAAATGACAGTAACAATAGAATGATGAGGCCACTGTAAAAATTTCAACGACTTTATGTACTATCTAAATACAAATACATAAATAATCTCCCATTTATCTTCATTTCATTGCATTGCATTTACTTGTATTTTAACACAGTGAACTATTTTAAGAGACTACAATATATAAGGTAATTAAAGTGTCTTGTGTGACGAATCTCGCTTGAATTTCCTGCAACTATATATCGAAATAGCTACTAACTTAAATACTTGTATGTAAAATGTGAGATTCTTATCACATTTAGGATTATCAGTTAAAAAATGAAGTATTGTTACACATTTAATATAAGTGGCAAGAAAAATGTGGCATAACAAGATATTAAGTATAAAAGTAAGTATAATATCGTAAACAAAATACATTTTGTATACGAAAAGAATTTTAAACCAAACTACCATTAAGGGAAAGCGACAGTTTGAAAAAAAAAGAAAGAAAAAAACAAAACAAATATTGACTCATTCTACGCCTAATTCTTTTTGATTCATTTACCATGAAGTATTAAACTTTAGTATTTTATATATAACTTCTATGTCAGTCGTTGATAGCGAAGGCGAGTAAGGTGTAGAAAAGTGTTTATCTTTTACATCAGTCATATTTTACACATTGACAACTTCATATTTTATTCTAAGAATAGCTGGTATGGTTAATACGAATAACTTTTCGTCTATGATTAAGGATGCATCATTGGGACATAAAGCTGTAAAATAACTGTGTTTAACGCAATAATTGCACCGTCAGTAACTTTGATGACCCAGGAGCTTTTGATAACCTTTTAGGCTAACTATTGCTGATGAAAAAATGTTTGAATTTGGCAGGCTCTTATATCTACTTAAATATACTAAATGCGTTCCAGAATAAAAAAGGAAATTCCAGATGTCCCTTTTCTGGGGGTCGACCTCAACGCGCTTTTTCAGCAACAATTTTACATGCACAGATACAGACAGTACAGAGCTGACTTAGGGGAATAATTCCCCTTACTTTTTAACCTCAGACGGAACGCATTGTATCTGTTCGTTCTGCGGATAAATGATATCATTTTAAATGGGTTTATTTTCTAAGGATAATGTTGGAAATGGTTGTTCGGAAATATTTCATGAAAACACACATCTTACTTTCAAATGGGTTAATATAACAGTAATTTACGCAGATTACAAAAACCTTTTAATTGTAGACGGTCAATATATTTTAGATATGAAATAGAAGGCATGGGTTAAAAAAAACACAAATGTCTGATCATTTCTAGATTCGTGTTTTTATACTTGTTTGAGAATATAGAGTAGAGAGAAAAGAATACATCCGATATTAATTTGTATACAAGAAAAATATAATAACGGGCTATATAACATATCACATTTATTTGTACATTATTCATCTTACTGTTAAGAAAATAAATATACTTATCAAATATTTTACCGTACTTATTCAAGTAAAATATAAAACTTTTAAAAAATCGATAGGCATATGTTGTACTTAATACTTATGTATAAATGTAGTGTTAAATATATGTTTTAATCATTATGCATTTTCGAAAAAAATATTAAGAAGAATTGATGAAATTAAATGCTCATTTTCATTTTCCATATTTTTCTATGTATAAGTTTACTTTTACTACAATGTAGCATATTTTCCGTACTTATCACTGGTGTCGTAACTACTTTCGTCAATATACATATTAAAATAAACAAAAAAATTAATAATAATTTTTAAACAGAGAAAACTTTAATAAACAGGCAATTCAATATTTTTCCAAAAACTGATTATTATCAAAATATTTTATCTAATATGTGTCTACAACAACTGGTGAAATATTTATTTCTATATCACCCGATGAAATAAAACACGCAATTACAGATAAAACTTCATATCCTTTTTACATTATATTCTTGAATATTCTTAATATAAATTCAGAAATATTGAAAAAAAATATTTATTACATAAATATGAGTGGTTCCGTTTAATTTATTTTTCACTGCAGTGAAATTATTTCCATATTGTCATTGTTGTCTTGTCGGATTATATTCTTCTAAGTCAGCCAAATCAAATAATTATAATGTAGTCAAATTTTAATGCGGAACGAAAGAAAAACGTATACAATAAACAGAAAATTCAAGTTCTTTTTTTTTCTATAAAATTTAATACAGGATTAATTTTCACATTGTGGCATGAAAGTTCTGATATATTTTACTTGTCTCGAAATATTTATTTTCATACTAGTTTCAATAGATGAAAACAAATCTGTATTTATTGAAAAGAACTCAAACATCATCTATTAAATCATGTACTATCTTCTTTTTAGCGTTTTGGAAAAAAAAAACAAATAAAAATTCGGTCCTCTCTTATTTTTTATTTTTAATTCGTACATGGTACCATACATGTGGAATCTATTGTTCAATATATATTTGTTAATTGATAAAAATAAAACAACAAAAATAAATAAATAAGCAAAGCATAATTAAATGAAAGTTGTCAGACAATCAATAAAATTATCGTTCAAATTCTTAAATCCAGGTACTGTGTGATATCTTGTTGATTTCGTCTATCACGTCTGTTGTTTTGTTTTGTTTGTTTCACATATCTGAAATCAAATATTGAAACAACATTAAATTGTTTTATGATACAACTTGGTTTTACGGTGGTCATCATTTATATTATTGATCACAAGCATTAAAATGAAATAAAAGAATACAGTTTGGAATTATGAAAGCCCTTTTATCAATATTGTTAAATCAGATTCTGTATGAATGTTCATGAAAAGCGTAAAATGTAAATGTAAATAAGATAACTAGAAGAAAATAACTTTAATAAGAAAATTGTCATAGCTCGTTTATTTCATTCATATAATAATTATAATGCATATCTTCTACACATTTTCACTGTATAATGGCCTTTGCTTAAAGTATTTTATATCTATCCTTTCTTTAATGAAATGAATCGATAAAATGAACAGACCCTGTAACCCTCTGTAATAGCATAGTATAAAGGTGTTATAAAATTAAAACAGTAAGGAAATAACCCCGCCTATTTATAATCAAACGCTTGAATCTGTCTAACTGATCCATAACATTACAGCTGAGATAAGGGTGAACTCACGCCATAATCTATCCAGTCCTACACATTAACCCAATATTTCCAGTTTCCTCCAAAATTTCCTATCTCTAGTCAGTGATGAGCATTTAATTGTAATTACACGGCTTGTCACTGTATCACTGACAGCAGTACCATTGAATGTTTTATGATCCTATCATGTTTTAAGAATGTATAGTTAAAGCTGGAGGATATAGAGAACATTTTAGAATTAATTGAAAACAAGTTCAAGGGGGGGGGGGAATAATTCTGTAAATGGTCATGCTACAGTTATGAATCTTATCACACATGAAAAGGATCATAAATTTTAAGTTAGAAGTAGATACCTTAAGAAATAAAAAATTAACATTTTTATGAGAAAAAAGATAAGTTCATGGGGAGAAAATTCTGAAAAAAATGGTGCAAGAGTTAAAACATTTTTAATATGATGTAGTTGATGATAAGGAACATATGTTTGAAGTTTAATGTCAATCCTTATTTTTTTAAATGAAGATATTAGAGTAAAATATAACATTATTTTACGGAAAATTATATGTTCAAGGGGATATAGTTCTGGAAATACTGTGGTTTTAGAGTTTTGCACCTTATAACATAATTTGGATGATAATCAGGAATATATATTTGAAAATGATAAGAAATAAGAAGAGCTGTCACCCAAGTGACGAATGCCCCTGAAAAGGTTTCAGGCATGCAGGTATTATGAAAAGAAAAGAGAATGAAAGTAACTATTGCTTCATATTGTTCTTTGTATTATTGTACCTGTGATATATAAATGTGATAGCACGAACCTTCAAGATATAAGTGTGACCTTGACCATTGACCTTTAACTATTGAACTTTATTTATTATGAATTTAAAAATTTATCGTGTGTTATAAAGTATATATACAAATAATTGCTAAGTTTCACAATTCAATTAAGCTGCAGACCCGGTTGAAAAAGAATGAAGAAAAAAAAAACATTGATAAATTTAGTAAGTGTATCTTCTACAGAAATTTGACCCTTCAATTTTAGGGCCATTAGATAATAATACAGAGGGCCAATTAATAATGACAAAACTCTCAACTCAGTGGACGTGTTAATGTGAGACGTACAGTTAATAGTGATTTACTAGCTGATAAGCCCTTACTGAGATTCAGCAGGCTGGAAGGGTTAATGCGTAGGACTGTATCGGCTAGTCGAAGTTCATGACCTCTTGTGTATTATTTTACAAGTGTCTGCAATTTGTATTAATTTCAACAAGGCATATAAGATTTAAAGATACGAGTTTCAGGGTACTGTTACTCATATATTATTTTCTTCACATGTCCTTTACAGCTAGATACAAGATAATATGTTTTTAGATATTTTTATTCGAAATGTTCAAATAATATCGTTTAAATTATCTCATCAATATGTTTATATCATTCTTTTTGTATCTAAATGTATTAAAATGAATTTCTAACAATGTGCAAAGATAAAGAAAATGTTACTTAATTAAAATGTTCTTAAAAAAACAAACAAAAAAAAAAACGATTTCTGCTCATTTTTCATTTGTCTTGCTTCCAAAGAAACTAACCTTCTTTTCTTATTTGGGTGTCAATAAAGTCGATAATCGACAAAGAAGTGATGTGCAATTTACATGTATATGCAACAATATATTGCATAAGAAGTATCTTTATTAACCACCATCCCTTAAAGATTTTCACATCATATTCTCAATTTATATCAAATACTAATAAGAATGAAAATATAAACAATCACTACATGACAATGATACATATGTATGCTTCTGAACTGAGAAAAAACTGAAATAAATACCTTAAATTTGCATCTGATGATCGCATAACTTTTTGCTCAGTTTAAGTGCAATCCTTTTGATGATAAAACAATAACACTCTACCACATTCTTACAAATGTACAAATTGTACTTCTGAACATCAATTCTTCCATGACGGTGAGATAGCGATAAAGCCCGCTAAATTCGTTCCAGATTTTATTACACACATAATTAAACGAATACCGCGCTGACCGCATTAAGGTAGCAAATCCTCCTGTACATCGACAGAAGAATATTTCAACAATAGAGTAATGTAGGAAGGGAAATGTAACAAAAAAGAATACACATAGTTGAAGATTGCCTAGATGATATATGGCAAATTTGTTTTGCTATCAAATCTGTCACACAATACCAAAAACTAGACATTTTTTAAATAAAAATGGTAGCATTTCTCATGCAAAAGTACTTATTGCAGGTGTTATGTATTTATGCGTATAAATCTAGATTAGATTTTACGGCACTCTGAAGTTCTATCTTTACAAATGTTAATATTTACTCTGTATACAAAACACGTCACTATGAATTAAAATAGCAGTTTGTATAAACATTAAATGAAAAAATGAATAACAGATAATTACACCTATTTCTTTCTAGATTGTCTAAGATGATAGTTTTTATACACCACATTGTTAGTAAGATCAGCAATTACTTTTTGATACTGATTTACTGATACTTTTAAAAAATAGATTTATATATCTTTAAGTAGGAAAAGTTAATCATTTTGATAATAATGTAAATTTTGTCTATATTCTTGTTGTCTAGAGTGCATTTTTTTTCTATTCATAGGAACTGTAAGGTAACTCATTCGCGAGCGATAAGAAATGTCAAGATAACAGACAGTACCGCGCAAAGATATGGAGGCATCCATCTGCAAATTAAACGTTACGTAATTGTTTCGCCGTTTTTACATTCATTAAAGACATTGGATATACAAATAAAACTTTAAAACAACGAGTTACGCATTCAAACTATAAGAGTGGTTCAAACAGTACTATATCCATAGATTTAACCATCAACCGTTGCAAACCCTATTTACCTTACCTGCACCATGAATTTATAAATACAATAAATAAGTTTCTCAAAACTTTGCTTGTGCCCAAGAAACGCATAAATGAGCGGTTTGTTTAACGATGACATTATATGTTCAGATGAAAAAAGATCTCAAAATTAATTTAGACATTGAATATTATGACAGTTTATAAGATATTCTGTCACTTGTAAAATTAGTCTTTTTTCTGATGAAATTAATTTACGGAAACAATCTTATGCAGATTATTTCAAAGTAATTGACCTTCTCTCCGCTGAGGCAATTAAATGTAAAGTTTATAACTTTTTTACGAATATATGTTTATGTCAAAGAGTCGACATGTGTGCGTCTTTAATTATCATGTGCTCACGAAACACTAAGTTGGGCGAACGAGATACTATGTCGTGACAACATGTTACTTTTTCGTGCGCTAGAGATATTTAAGTGGGGCCCACAATATACTATGTCTTGGCCACGAGTTACTAAGCTGTGCTTTCGAGGTAATTAAGTCGTGCCCAGGAGATAATTAACCAATCAGATAAAATTATATAATTATGAATGTTTTAAACTTTAAAAAATTCTGGTTTAAATTTTACATGCAACGTTAATCTATTACACTTCTTAAGATATCCACTTCAAACATTATACATGAATAAAGGATCATAAGAATAGGTCACTATCCAAGACCAATAAATCAGATTTTAATCTTTACTAAGTTTTGCTCTTTGTGGGGAACATTATGTGATAGGATTGATCAGTATGTACGTACTAATTGCCTGTTGACCTTTTCCATACCATAACTTGAGAAGAAATTAGCACCGGTTTATTTTATTTAGTAATTCGTGGCCACGACTTAGTAACTCATGGATATGACATGATATCTCGTGCGCACCACCTAATTATGTCATACGCACGACTTAGTAACTCGTGGCCACGACATAGTATATCGTGCGCACGAGATAGATAAAGCATACACACACGTCACCTTTTTGCCACCGTACGTAAATCAGCTTACGAACCAATTCTGTGAAGAAATATATATTTATATAGCATTTATTGTAAGGGATGAATGCATCGATTTCTTTAATAGCATAACAGACTTCATACATGTTTCCAAAGCGAGGTATAAGCCAAAAATTACCTATCCTTTGTGTATAGCTTAAAGAATAAGAAAGCCAATTAATCTATAAATGGAGTAAATAAATCAAAACAACACATTCTATTCATTTCGTCTTTGAAACGAAATAAATACATTCAAATATTACCGTTTAAGCGGTAACGGCAACGTGACATTAAAGTATAAATATAGATCAATGATTCTATGTATAAAATATACATATTTTTTCAATAAAGAAAAGTTGTAGTGTACCAAATATATTTACATGTAAGATAAATAGAAAAGTTCTATTTCTCACGATACGTAACGCCATTGTTTTTATGTCAAATAAATAAACAAGAAAAGCATTGATGCAAAGCATCAAAGGGCGTCCAAGCAAGAAATGCAGCGAGTGAAAATGAACTAGTACACATATGATGACAAGATATTCTTATAAACTACCAGAAATGTATATCACTTATGATTGAGCGGACGAAAGACATTGTTCATTATGAACTTTGATTGGCATGCTAGAGATTAGAATATTACTTGTTATTTCTTTATGATCTTGGTTATTAATAGCAACGGATATACATGTATGCAATCATTTATAATCCATATGTGTATCGCATGATCAACACGTACCACACCTTTGTAATTGTCCCTTTTTATGTTATCGCTATTAGCGAAGACCCCCTCTTAAGGTATCTGTTCACACTTTAAGTTAGTAAAAATATGACACTGGTTATATTACCATGTTGATCATTTTGAGCATAATTGTTTATTATACAATAATTGTAATATCTATTAATTTTAATAAAAAAAATACAAATTTTATGAATATTGTTTTCTTTTCTTTTTTGTGTTTTATGACTTGTGCTATTTTAATACTGAGTTTTTACTACTCTTTTTTTATTAAAATTGTAAAATAAATTTTAAGAATTCAATTGTCATATTGACCGACGATTATAAGTCAAAGCTTAACTGGAAAAAGTCAGTAAATTATGGTTTATCTTTCAATATATAATATTGTTTATTTTTAAACCATGTACATGTACATTTGTATTTTTCTTTATCATTTTTTAAATTATCAATCAATTGAATAATTAATAAAATCTAATTTGTAACTTTGAATAATTCCTCGGCATCTTTACTAAAAACGGATAACAAATTAAATAAAATGTTTCAAAGTTGATAATGTCATTTTAATACCATAAAAATGTACCTTTTTCTCAATTATTGTACATATCACGGATTTATATTACATATAAATCTGTGTACATATTTATTGTTTTTATCTCATATAGATAAAATGAAACATGCTATTGTTGTTTGTTTTTTTTTCTAATTGTAACGATATCAAACATCTACTCCAAAACCGGGAGAGACCGGACAATAAACATGTGGTACTATTCGCCGGTCACTAGTAAATCCCGGTCCAAATAGACCGAGAGAGACCGGTAATTACCGATAGGAGTGATAAATAGATATATCTATAAAATAGATTTTTGGAATATTTAGGTCATCAACTGATCTTTCTAGGATACATGTACAACAATATCATACCATGGTAACCCACTGTGTAGTACAAAATGATAAATAAAAAACCCCGAAGAGCGCGATTTATTGACGGAAAAGGTTATTTCATTTGAAAATGTTTGCATTGCGAAATTCTCCAGTTCGCTATTCATTGTAACATATCGCGACATTTCATTCTTATTTAATAATCAAGCACCCTCATACCGATCGGAATGATCGGCTTTTATTATGACCGACTAAAAGGCTCGAGAAGTTGCTGTCGCCCTTTCACAAAATCTGATTTCATTCCATAAGGGTGCCGCCCTTCGGCGCGGACGCCAATAAATATGTATCGCAAACTTAAAAAAAAATCATATACAAGTTAACCAGGTTTACTTCGGCCAAGTATCTTTTTAAAGATACTTTTTTGTTTAAATGTAGCAATCTTTACTACGCTGGAATTAAAATAACTCTTTTTCCTCCTTTAAACTATTATTTCTTTAATTTTCAACATTATAACTTCTTTAACTTTAAACGAACTAACTAAAACAAGGTAACAATTCCTTTTATATACCACGTTTTGCACGTAAAAGTCATGAAAATCATGTAAATATAATTAAACATAAACCCGCCGGTGACAAACCCGGCGGTTACAAGAATACCCGGCGGTTACAACAACTTAGTGCCAAGCCGGCGGATAATAACAAAATAAACAATAATATTATCGCGCTCTTCGCGACATTAAACTTATTTGAATGTTTTCAGCAAATACCTCAGCGTATCTCAGCGATTACACCAACTTGCATGTTTTATTTGTATTAATATGTTCATTTCTGATGACAGTAAAATAAGAACGTAAATAAACCAAGTCAATATAATAAAGGATACATCAGCAAGGGATTGTTTTCTACTTTTCTATGACATATTCAAGTACGTCTAGAAATCTTACCCTTGTTGGTTTTTCAAGAATTAGTATATTGCATATTGGGTTTCATGAATGTATGTGAATACAATCTTTTAATGCAAAATGTATTTGATTTTCTTACGCATTATTAAATCCAATGTAACTCGTGGTATAATAAATATGTGCCCACTTAAATCTATCCATCTATCTTAATAGCATACTCTCCGGGGAAACGGGAACATGCTTCAAACATTAAATGAAAGTTTTTAGGAAGGCACTTTTATTTACACATTAAAATCCTTTTAGAAGAGAAAAATAAAATTGTTGTCATCATCCACTCATTGGTGTCCGCGTTAGTAATCCTTGCTGGTACGGTTTTCGTTTTCGTCGCTTATTTTTAGCTCAAATGTCTTAGGTACCCCTTATAGCAAAGTTAAAGCTGGCTATTTTAACAAAGTGCATTGACTTATGATCTTCTTACTTTGTATGTAAATGTACCTTGATGAGTTCTACCTAACACACCCATGTACTGGCCAAATATCAAGGTCACAATTACCAATGAAAACAAAGTGATACGCTGGCCAATAAAGCAAAGTACGTTGACTTAAAAAACTTTAATTTTTTATGCCAATACACCTTTATGATTTCCATCAACCACTCCCATTTACAGGTCTAAGACCAAGGTTGCTGGGACCTATAATGAATGAATTATTGCTATTAAAGCAAAATGTACTTACCTAGAAACTATTCTACTTAATTTTGTAGATATATATTTTTGCTCAGTTTAAGATCAAAATGTTAAGGTTATAAGGACTTGTAACAGCACATCATTAATCTGGTCATTTAA